ACACACATGTATCCCCAACACTGATAAAACTGCCAGTCATAGAAAGTGTCACTGTGTATTATCCTGACATGTAAGACAAGAGAAGACCTAATTTCAATTAGTCTTAAAACTGATGATTCTGAAAAATCAGTTCTAATTAGTAGCAATGGGACAATTTTTCTGTCCTTGTTGCCATTTTCTTGCAGTGCTGAGATGGATCCTCTGGCCTTGTCATGCTAGGCAAGTGCTTTGCCACTGAGCCACGTCTCCAACTGGACAATCCTTTAAACAAAAGCATGTCTTTTATTTACATTTTATTTACGAGTTCATGTGTGTGTGTGTGTGTGTGTGTGTGTGTGTGTGTGTGTGTCCATGCGTGTGTCTATGTATGTGTGTGTGCGTGTCCATATGTGTGCATGCCATGGTACACATGTGGAGGTCAGAGAACAACTTTCAGGAGTCAGTTCTGAACCTCCTTCCACACGTGGGTGCTGGGAACTGAACTCAGATGTCAGGACTGGTGTCAAGTGCCTTTACCCTCCTCCCCAGCCCTCTCAGCAGCACTGACAATTCTTACATAAGGGCAGCAACCTAAAATATGTGCATTGCTAGGACAGAGGCAGGTGATTCACACCTCTAACTTACTGTCATCTGATCTAACTGGCCTCCTGAAGGAACAGTTTGACTACTTTGTCAAAAAAAAAGAGCTGCACACAGCACTTTTTAGTTAAGCATAAATTCCAGATACACGTGGATATACAATGGTGTGTTAAATTATCATTGATGTGGTGTTTTTTTTTCTCTCTCTCTCTGAATGCCTACAATCCCCATGAATTCAAAAGCCAGTCTTTTAATTATACAGTCTTCATGCTCCTGACACTATTTTATAATCTCAGAGATTTCATCTGAGAATGACACAATGATTACTTTCCACTGAAAGAAATGCTTGTTTCATGGTAGCTGCACATCGTCCATTCTTCACACGCAAACCCAAGAAGAATGTACTCTTGTGACATTCTTGTAATGTTCACATATCTACTTATAAAGAACTCATGGCCAAGGAAAATAGTGCGAGATGGGCTGTGAAGTGTGAGTCTGCCTGGGTCTTCTCACCAATTCAAGTCCAATCATAAAGAAACAAACAAGTCCCGCCTCTGGTTGTGTTAAAAAAGTTCCAAGCCATACTTCTAATCTCATATAGTATCAAGTGCTTTGGTTTAGATATTTAATTTCTCAACATACCTCAGAGTTGAGAGCATGTACAGAGGTCATGGTTTTATACAGTTATATTGACTACTGCCTTACGAGGATAGCATATTATTGACAAAAGATGACAGGACCAACAACAACCCAAAATGAAACACCAGGCACCTAGAAGCAATAAGTCTCAGGAAGAGGGAAATCAAATTTTGGTACCAGACAAGGCAGTGACAAAACAGTGTCAAAGGGAGATTTGAAAAGATGAAAAGTTCAGGCAAGTGGCTGTTTGGGCTATGCAGTTGCTAGCAGGTTAGACTGATGCCAGTCTTCAAAAGGCTACAAACATTCTTCGGGCCACTGTGGTTGTAGAAATGTGTCTATAAGGGAAGATGCTCCTAGCTGCTTGTTGTAACCATTGAAAGAAACCCCCAGAATGCACCCTGAGTGTCTTTAGAATGTGAAAAAGTCCCATGTGTTAATTGAATTCAGTATAAAATGTCAATGTTTTCCCCACAGTGATGACTTCAGCATTGTCTTCCCAGTGGGAAACCATGTCTTATCACTCCACAAGGCTTAGAATTTTCACTGACTCTGACAGAAGATGAAACTATCACCCACGTTTTGTTTACTCAACATAAGGCCTTTTCCCAGAGATGGTGTAAATTGTTGTTTTATATAACCCAATTGCAAGATCACACTGAAGTTTGTTTTTTGTTTTGTTTTGCGTTGTTTTTTTTAGGTTTCCAGTTATAGTGGTATTATTTTCATTGCTAGAGCTCTGTAAGTCAAAGGAAGTATGTGCCACCCATGGAGGTCAAGGTTGATTCAGACTATGCCCAAGCATATGGGTACTAATGCCCCTCCGAGAGAGGAGTCCTAACACTGAGAGCTGCAAATGGCCTGATTAGGGTGGAGTACTCAACTGTCACTTATTCTCAGCACCTTGAGCAGCCATGGGTCTCTGCATTCCCTGTCATTCACTACAAAGAGACGCCTCTCTGATTAAGGCTACAGATACTCCAGATTAAATATCACCCCCTTTAGCTTTAGAGCTCAAGAATCTTTGCGGAAGAGGGGGCAGAAAACCTGTACGAGCCAGGAGGCAGGGAGAGGGCTGTGAAATCCTGTCTGTTTTGTCTTGGAACAGCAGTGCAGCTATGGCCTCACGGTGACTGTGACTGCCTACACAAGACAGCCTATCAACAGGCAATCACAGATTGGAGAACTGATGGCTACCAATGGATCCAGGGGAAGGGACGGTCATTGTCTTCAGTTGTATACCCACTTAGGAGCCCACTAGTTCCAAACTCTTGGCTCCACAGACAATCCTGGTTAAACTCAGTGTGTCTCGAAACAAAATGGCATGGATGTGGGAAGGAGACACACAGGGAGAATGATGGATTGGGGAGGAGGTTAGAGAGGATTGGGGCTACAGTAATCAGAATGCACTTCATACATATAGGAAATTGTCAAAGAACAAATTCAATAGCACTTTTCTTTTTAAAGAGTCACAAATGGAGGTGTTTACATATTTATTGAAACAAGTTTCCAAAATCTGCCAGACAATGCTGTGCTTTAAAAAGACACCAAAGTCTGTGTCTTCAATGTTTGTTTTTGTTTTTGTTTTTTTGAGTAAGGGTCTTACATATTCCAGGCTGACCACAAACTCACTATGTGGTGGAGAATGACCTTGAATTTGTAGGAATCATCTTCCTGCAGCCACACTGAGTTTATGCAACACTAAGAATTGAACCCAGGGCTTTGTGCATGCTAGGCAAACGACTCACCAACTGAGATAAATTCTCTGCCCATCTTCATTTTAAAATCTGATTTATTTTGGTTGGCTATCTAGCCAGAACAAATTGATGAGGTTTTGTTTTAAGAATTCTTGGAGGGTTGGAGAGATGGCTCAGGGGCTAAGAGCACTGGCTACCCTTCCAGGGGTCCTGAGATCAATTCCCAGCAACCATATAGTGACTCCCAATCATCTATAATGGGATCTAATGGCCTCTTCTGTCAAGCAGGAACACATGCAAAAGGAGCACTAATATACATAAGTAAATTTTTTTTAAAAATTATTGGAATTGTCATATACATATGCTGTGCATTGATTGTATAATAATAAAAAGATTCAGGATCCTAGGGTTAAGTTGACTGCTTGGCCCATGCTAATATCCTAAGCCCTGCCAGAGCAAACTAGCTTTGTAGAAAGTTCCTGTGCACTGTGCAGCTAGACAAGTCAACACAGTTCTCAGACATAAACTCAACATCATGCTGGTAAATTTGTTTCTTTGGGAGCTTGAGGCTATTTAGCATGTTGAATGAGAATTTTGTTATCATCTCAGGAAACACTGCTTTATCCAGAGGAACAGTCCAAGACCTGGACACGTCTGAGAACCTCTCAAGTCTGATAATGGACAAGACAGGGTCAGATCAAAGTCAAAGGCCTGGGTAGTCACAGAGGATCTTAGACAGCCCTAGAAAGAAGGAACTAGACTTTTCAGAGAAAGAGAAGGAAATTTCAACTAACAGCCATGGGCAAAGAATAGAAGAGCCATGATGACTCAGAAGGCAGCACCTGCAGTGTGAATGTCTGAGAATCAGGGCAGATTAGAAATTGACTGTGAGTGTCCACCGGGGCAGGGACTCTGGTATCAGTGAGAATGCTGAGAATACAACAGACAAATCTGTTGAGGATACACTGTTGAACACCGTCTTTTATCAGACCACTGCACAGTCCCAAAACAGTGCAAGCAGAGTTGTCTTCCACTGTATAGAGAGCCCACACTAGCCTGCAGCTCTGCCTATAAAATGTCTGCATATCTCAGAAGGCAAGAGCTCGGTAAAGGGGCCCCAAGGAGGCAGAAGGTGCTCTGTGCAGCATGAATGAAGCTTTTCAAACACACCCCAAGTTGAACAACAAAAAAGTTCGGTTAATTTTTAGCTCCCCCTGGTTTCTACATGGTTAGTAGAATAAAATTTTCATTCTTTGTTTTTTTCCTGGAATAAAATACTAAGCATCCCAGGAGAGCTGAGGACTCAATTTGCTAGATGGCCTTTCAAAGTCGGAATTAGAAAGCTAAGCATTAAATGGGGCTGACTAGATTGAGGAGAAGAGGTTAGTGGGCCCTTCTGCATTTTGCTCCATTGTTTCTAAAAAAGCACATGGACGTCAAGCAACCTCATGTAGAATGTCTTCTCTGATGGTCTGATAGCCACCTCTGGGAGTGTTGTATTGAGGACTGGGGACTCTTTCCAGCCCCAGTAGGAAAGGTTGTAGCATGCAGGAGAGACCTCAGAGCACCGTGAGCTACAGTTGCTACGGGTACTGATATATCATGTTCGTCCTTGAAGATCCCAAGATGCAGAAGGGTGATAGATGATCTCAGTCTGCATGCACTCCATGCCTTGTGCCCACACAGCACAGGCCAGGCTGGTGGGATGAGGCAAGATCAGTATAGCAGCTTCCGGATGTTTCGAGCAGAGGTAACCTTAGTGGAGAAGGAAAAATGTTGCTTCTCTCTTTAAAGATTGCTATTTCTTCTACAAGTTTTCCAAAAGTGACCAAGATGTGGCTAAATGTGGCACAGTACAAGTTTACCAGCCACTCATGGATCTTCTGTGAGGATTGTGCACTTTCTTGTTGAGTTTTCTTAGCAGGTAAAAACAAGCTTAACAACTCCCTGGGATGGTGCGGATATGAAGCACTTGCTTTGTTTGCTGTCTTTTCCGTGACATAAAATAACATGGGGGGAAGTTCCAGATGAACTGAGTTGACCTGTCAGAGGACATGAATAATTAGAGGACATTATCCAAAACTGTTAGGGAGTGAGATGACCCAGAAGAAGATCAGCTTCCTGATTCAAGCCCTCGGGGGTGAAGCACACCAGTGACGGTGACTTCAGGGTGATCAGCATGAGTGAGGAGAAGGCAGCAAGGAGGGGATACCCACTGAGGAGCAGACAACACATCACAGTGCTCCTTGTGCACCCTGAGTCGGATGGCGGGCAGCCAGGCCTTTCCTAGGATTTCAGTCCTTCCTTCTTCCAAGTCCACGGGATGTCATCGTCTGAAGAGAGGGTGGTGGAAGAAACAGTAAAAGGTTCTTGTGTCTACACTGATTTGAAATTAATTAAACTTGTCTCCTCTTCGTCTTCCCTTGGCAGGCCCAGCAGGTGCCCTCAGGGTGTGCACTCTTGGAGAACATCAACACTGCTCAGAGTTAGGATTCATTGTCACTGGGAAAGAAAGAAACACAGAACAGAACAATAGCACATTTCCAAGAAGCAAGGGAAAGGTGTTCCCTCGATTGCAGAGGTGACTCAAGAGTCTAGATAATCAGAAGGTCAGTATTCTTTAGCTTACGATTTCCCAAATAAGGGCCAGTTTGAATTTTATATTCCATTCTTGAAGAGGAAATCCATGTACACCAAGAGACTATCCCTAGCTCTCCCAAATTCCTCCCCAGTGACAGGCAGACAACTAGATGGAGTTGGGGGTTCTCTCCTTTAATTAAATCTAATCCCATTCCCTGTGAATAGATGCCAAATGTCTTTTCAAAAACAAACAAACAGACAAATAAAGAAAACACACATGTGTTGTTTTCCCTCAAGAGTTTGTGGTCCTGGCTTGTTCGAGCCCACAGAGGGACTAGGGCATGTTCTTTGCACCATGTAGAATTCCATCATGGGTATCCTGGGGTGTAAGTCAGAGACCTGATATTTGAACATACCATGCTGTTGGCTTTTTTGTGTGTGTTCGTTTGTTTCTAGTTTGGTTATCTTTGTCCAATATCTGACTTCACAGCCTTTTCCCTGTGTGGCAGGGGCTCCACTTGCCTGGAGAGTAGGTGCAGCCCTGCTTCTTGCTTCCTGCTTCTCCTCTGGTTTTGGTGTCCTCTCTACTGACATTCTAGCACATCTCTATTGTCAGTCAGCTCTATCTCCAAGGAAGGGCATGAATGACCACAGTGAGCAGCTGTGCTCTCTCCTTGGCTCTTGGGTATGTGCAGCCCACTGTGGTCTTCCGATTCATCCCACAGATGCTCAATAATGCATCGGGCATTAGCAAGGGCATACACCTGTAGTTACAACATCTACAGCCCAGGAAACAGTGAAAACTGTCTCAGAAAAACAAAACAACCACAATAGATGATACATCAGTCAATAGATGTCAGTGTGTCCTTGACAAGGGAGAGGACCCTTCACCGTGTGTGTGTGTGTGTGTGTGTGTGTGTGTGTGTGTGTGTGTGTGTGTGTGTGTAAGCTGTGGGAACCAAGGAAGCATAGAAGAGGGAGAGGAAGGCAGAACTGTATCTGATGCACTGATGCAGGAGAATAAACAAAGGAATGACCTCTATAACAAAACTTATCAAATGTGGACAATGAGTGGAATTTTTCCCCTCTGGGGGTGTAATTCAGTGACAGAAAGCTTGCTTACCACAGGTACTGTCCAGACCCTGGGACTGATCTTCAATACCCCTTACACACTAAAGAGGGAATATTCTCTAAGAGTTAGGTACAACAAACCTTTAATTATGTCACTCTGAAAAACTCAAAGTGAGTGAGTGAAAAACTCAAAGGCTTCATTTCCCAGAAACAGGGTGGTAACAAGACAGTATTGCTAAGTCCAGGAGGCCATCTCTGTGGAACAGAAGTCCCCAGATTGTATGGTCTCCCTTTATGGCCTTAACTAGCAAAACCCTCTTTCGTCTGCAACACTGAGCTCTGTCCAATGGTTCTAACAGATACAGTTTTCAAAATTATTGTAAAACCAGCCCATGTTCATTTTTTTTTAAGTGGAAAATACAGGGCTGGGGATGTAGCTCAGTGGTAGAATGTTTGGCTACCATGAGCAAGGTCCTGGGTTCCATCTGTAGCAAGCCTCCCCCCGCCCCGCCCCCCAAAAAACATAGAATAAAAACACTAGTACCTTCACTATCGCTAAGTATTTGGCACTTACTCTTGCAAGTTTTTCTGTTCTAAACATATTTTCTCCTGTGTTCAAAAATAGGATGTTAATATGCACATTGTCCACTCCTGCTCACACAGAGTGGGACATAGCTCTTCTTCCTAACACACATAAGGTTCAATGCTGGGTTCAATCCCAGCACTACAGCCCACAGGTTAGAATTTTCCCCACTTCCCCTCCCTTTTTAGTAGCTATATAGCAACCTATTAACCCATTGGATGCTTTTAAAATGAGGCTTAGGAATGTAATACAACAGTAGGGTGTTTGGCTGGTGTATGCTGAAGCCTTGAATTCAATCCCCAGTACTAAAGAAAGAAGGAAGGAAGGAAGGAAGGATGGGAGGAAGGAAGGAAGGAAGGAAGGAAGGAAGGGAGGAAGGAAGACCAGAAAAAGACAAAATAACAATAGAACCTGCCTCTAACCAATATTTATTATAATTAACTCTTTAGGCTACTTCTAATTTTTAACTTTTACAAACACTTCCAATCATTCCCTTTGTATAAGTCTCTACAGGAGGAATTTTGGATGCTTTCAGGCCCATTGTTAAATGGTCCTTCTAGGTGAGAAAGCTGTTATATTTTCTTTATCTATGCTTTTGTTTTCTTTTTTATTACTAAAAAGGATATACTTTTTCCAAACATTGATTGGTAATTTTAATGTCTTTAGCTAAGTTATTTTATTGATAAACTTTGTTCATATTTAATTATCTTTTTATTGGTTCCCATAGTAAAAATAATTTGACTCATTATCTATACTGCAAAACATCTCCAGTTTTTAATTTTGGTTCTAATTTTTTGTTTTGTTTTGTTTTGTTTTGTTTGAGGTGGGGGGTCTCACTCAGTGGCTGTTGTGTAGCAGTTTCTTCTGAGATTAAAACTGTCCATCTTGGCCGGGCGTTGGTGGCACATGCCTTTAATCCCAGCACTTGGGAGGCAGAGGCAGACAGATCTCTGTGAGTTAGAAGCCAGCCTGGTCTCCAGAGTGAGTGCCAGGATAGGCTCCAAAGCTACACAGAGAAACCCTGTCTCGAAAAACCAAACCAAACAAACAAACAAATAAAAAACAAAACAAAACAAAAAAAACTGTCCATCTTGGAGGAAAGCCAGTTAAGGCCCATGATGTTAAAGGGGAGGGGAGTTCTAAAGGGTGGTGAAACATTCCATCCTGCAGGCAAGCTTATCAAGACTGAAAGTTAACAAGGCTTCCTGAACTTCCCAAACTGAGCAGACTCACTAGGCCCCTCCCTCCTTTAGCATGTAAAAGCAGAAAGCACACTGAAAGATGCTCAGACCAGCGATACTCCAACCAGTTGAGCTGCCTACAGGCTGTGCACTGTGTGAGCTGTCACCCATGTTGGGGTGGGCTTTGGTGATGTAGCTTGTCTTTGAGTCATTTCTGCTCCTAAAAATAACCCTAATAAAATTCACTGCTTCACCAGTTTGGACTTTTGTGGTATCCTTACTTTGGTCTGTCATCAGTTCCCTATCTGGAGCAGGTAGACGCTGTTCACACATCCTAAGAATAGTCACACACGACAGTAGCCCAGGCTGCTCCGACTCACTCTGTAGACCAGGCTAACCCTGAACTTGTGTGATCTTCCTGTCTCTGCCTCCCAAGGGTTAGGACTGCAGGCATGTACCACCATGCCAGGCTTTTATTTTGTTTTGCTTCTTTTTCAAACAGGGTCTTACTCTGTAGGCCAGATTATCCTTGAACTGACAGCGATCTTCCTGTAAGCTTCGAGTGAGTTTCCTGAGTGCAGATTACAGGTGTGAGCTGTCACATCCAGATCTCCATTAATGATTCCTATCCAGTGCTAGTGGAACCATGTTTAATTTCTACTGTGAGTCTTCTGATATCATGCCCCAGCTCATACCCTGGCTATCTGTGCACAGTCATGCTTCCAAAAGAAATGTGCATTGAGATTTGTAAGAGATCTGGTTGAATTTGAAAAGATAACTTCACAATCTTGTTGAACGTAAAAGTATTAGCTCAGGACCCACAAGACCAAGTTCTCAGCTCAAAGGAGATTTGTTTGCTTGAGAGGGACAAAGGGCTGGGAATAAGAGACAAAGACAGGAGAAGGGGAAGGGTACAAGGGAAAGGGGGCAGGAGTATTTGTCCCAGGGAAAAAAGGACTGCTCCTGGATAGAGAGAAGACAGACATGGCCCATAGGAAATTGGCAGTCTTTAAAGGTAAAGGGGGAACCCTATTTTTAATTGGGCATGTTAATTAGGTGAACCAAAGGGAGCTTTTGATTGGTGGACTTCAATACTTGGTAGTCAGCTTCAGGAGGAGGAAGTGGCCAAAAAAGGGGAATAGACCTTGGGGTCTAGCTTTAGGGAATGTAATCTAACGGTTTTTAGCAAGGCAGAGGGAATCTGGGAGAAGAGCAAGACCTGCTAGAGCCAAGTTCGCCAGATCCGGGATGGTTAGAGTCCTTTCATTTGTCTTTGGTTAGCAGCACTATGGCTTCTGTTTGTTCACATTTTTTACGTCCCTCAGTAAAAGGAATGAAGGTTCAGCTCAGTGGTAAAGCATGTGCTTAGCATGTGGGAGTTTCTGTTTCAGTTCCCAGCATCAAATAATAAATACATTAATCAACAAATAAATAAATTTGTGTGTGTGTGTGTGTGTGTGTGTGTGTGTGTGTGTGTTTATATTCATGGATGTAGGTGCTTAGAGTGTAAAGCTGGGAGAGGGTGTTGGGTGTCCTGTTCTGTTACTGCCTGCCTTACTCTCTTAAGACCTCGTCTCTCCATGAGTGTGGAGCTCGGCTGTCAGCTAGCAACCCATCACAGTTCTCCTGTCTCTGTCCCCACTGTCCCCACAGTGCCAGGGTTAAAGTCAAGGGTGGGCTCACACCCAGATTCTTTACAGTGTGGGCTAGGACCAAAGCCAGCACATTTACCCACTGTACCTTTCCCATTCCAGTAAATAAATATTCAAACCTTTAAAATGATGATTCCATGCATCGTGTTGTGGGTGTCAGCGCTGGGTAGCTCCCATTTTTTTTGGTGGCTTTTACAACAGTTATAATGTTGGGGTACACTAACAAGTGGATTCTTAGCATAAGAGGAACACTATTGGGCTGGAGTCTGACCATTTCCTTGCTGTGCGACCATGGGCAAGTTAACCTTTCCTAGCTTCAATTTCCTTGTCTGGTCTCATCTCCAAAACACACCTAATAATTGTATAGCTTATAGGGTTGTTGTAAAGAATAAATGGGGAGTTGAGGTGGTAAGACATGAGAGAGGCTCTGGCCTCAGTCCTGAGCATCACACACTCAAAGAAAACCAGAGAAATACAGATAAAACCCCATGTTAAAGGCCTCGTGCTTAGACACACATCTATTGGCAATGCTTATTCCGAAGACCCAGAACCAGTGACTGTTTGCTAGTTGTCTGGAACGTTGCCACTAAGACTCAAGGCTTTAAGGAAACATCTTCAGAAGCATGCTTTACATTTCTAAGGAGAGGCATTTTGTTTAGCAGTGTCATTACTTAACTTCTCCAAAGCAAAGTGCTCATGATCTCTGGCCCCTCATCGTGGGATGACAAGGTCCCAGCATAGACACAAGCTGCTTCTGCTTTGATGAGACAGCCGGCCATTCCCAGGGAGCAGCTGCCCTCCCGGTGTTTTGTGTGGTTTGATGTCCACCAGGCCAGTGAGTGAGTCAGCACCCTCCCCCCACAGCCTCCCACAGCCCCAGCACAGTGATCCAGGGCATCCCCCGTTACAGGCTCATTCTTTTATTTAGTTCAAGGCGCTCGCTGCTGCCTCTGGTTATTCATCATCTCTGGGAAATGATCAAATAAGCCATGCATTTTTAACTCTAGCAAACCCTGGAGTTCCCTGTTAAAAATACCTTGGCGAACTGCCACTGAGCTGCAACAAACACAATAGTGGCTCCGAGTTAAACCTTCCCTGCTTGCCATGATGTGCACACGTGCAGTTTTAGCAACTTATTTCTGACAGTGACATTAAAGAGCAATTTGTCTAGGGGTGTTACATAAACACGTGAAGCACATGGAACACCTTTCCACAGCGTACACAGGGACAGAAGGACAAACTGTAAAATAGTCTGCAAGCAGGCACTTGATTGGCAGGCTGCCAGCAGAATGGGGCAGATTCAGCTCAAATACCTCACCTCATAGCTGTGACTCTGTTTGTCCAGATTAGACAGTTATCCTCTTCCAGACCCATCTATCCAGCAACAATTCTGACTTATGGCCACAGCTAATACAGCCATCTCTGAAGATGGCAATATGCCATCGCTAAGCCCGTGGAAGGTCACGGTGCTCTGACTCAGCTTCAGAGAGCATAGAGCTCAGTTTGGCATGAAGTCATGTAACAGTTAGATCAAGCTCCTTCTCATCAATACAAAGTCCCTTCCCGACAGAGCTGGGCCTAAAGGAGGGAGGGAAGGAGGAGGGAGGGAGGGAGGGAAGAGGAGAGAGATCATGCAGAAAAGGGCAGTTAGAACACGGAAAGTGAAAATCAAGGACTGGGATGGACTCTAAAAGAGCTACCCTTTCCCAGAAGCTCAGGGGACATCTGACATCCAAAGAGAACTGGTACTGAACATGGATTCTAGAAGTCTTTGTTTATCAGGAGGATCGACAGTGCGGCAAATTCACTCCATTTTTGCTGTTCCATGCTTTTTGAAGCATTAAGGTCACCTGATGAAGGCTGGTGTCTCAGGGGTCAATGCCAACGGTTACTTGATGATGACAATTGATTGTAACAAATGTGTCACCTGTGGGGAGGTGTTGATGATGAGCTGGGCTGTGTATGGGTGAAGGTAAAGGACAAGTGACAGTCCTGCAAATTCGCTCTGCTTTCAATATCATATGCCTGTGGCAGTCACTAGAAGGGGTGTTGTAAGAGCTGAGATTGGCCAGTCTAGAACTCCAGTGCTGCTTTCCCAGACAGGGAATGGGGGGAAGCCCTGGCAGACGTCCTGTGAATCAAAGCCAGATGGTTCCAGGCCCACAGAGGAGTTCAGATACTCACTTGCAAAATGATCAGTTCACATAGAACAACTCTCCAAACAGATAAGGGCTTTTTTTTTCAGGCAACTTATTTTGAAACCAACCTCTCTATATTCAAAAAACAAAACAAGATTTTTAATAAATTTCATTACCATACAATTCTGTAAGGGTGGGTTTCTTCAGCAGTACCAGTAATTTCAGAGTGAGAGTCATATGTATAAAACTACTGACATTTCTCAACGCTGAAGGGGCAGCAATAATGTGAACAGAGTTTGAGGGTGATCTGTACTGACCCATGTGCCGTCTTGTTAGGAGGGGAAGGTTAAGATATGTGGAAAAGATTTCTCTGTGATGTTCCTTGTCATATAACTGTGGCATTATTTTTCTTCCTTTTGCCTTCTTGTTACCATCTGGAATATCATTTAAGTGAAATAGAGTATTTTTCTGACGTAGAGATGAATTGTAACATACAAATACCCCAAGAGGTAACATGGACTTGATCTCTAAGAGTCAACTCGGAGTTTGAGCTGAGGCTGGCCTGGGTAGGACTGTGGTAGTCCATGACTGAGAGAGATGAAGGGTGGTGAACATTTGGGTGGCGTACCGAGATTCTAGAGGTATAGATGCAGAGACAAAGACCCCAGAGGAAAACCTAATAAGATCTTTACTTGCAGTGCTGTGGCCTCAGGGACTGTCTGGTGACATGTAACTGCATTCTGGAAGCATCTAAGAGAGCTTGTATGTTCATGGGTACTCACCATGCTTTCAAGCTTCTTCTGTGTGTTCTAACACAAGTGTTTCATTTCCATCACAGTCCAACATCTCTGCTGTCTGGTCATCTTTGTGTTACCCCAACAGAAAACTTGGTGACCTCCCTCCAAATCATAGTCATGCTCTGAAGAGCAAGTCCCCTCTTAATTCCTTCTAGTTTTTTCCACATACTGAGCAAACACTTCGCTAATCGACAATCCCCCAAACTCACTCATTTCCCTCCTCACAAGATAATATCATTTAAATGATACCATCCAGGGCTAATAAATTACACCTGGCCCCAAGGCACTAAAATTTTCTATCAAGCAGAGCCACCTAGTGGTAGAATGGAATATTCTTTTAATTTCCATTTAATTTCTCTCTGATAATAAGTCCAGACCAGGTGGGTTGGGGTTCTTTGTTTGTGGTTTGCTTTTTAGCAAATGTTCCTCCTAGTCATGATTACTGAAAGCCACCTCCTTTGGGACTGTCCTCTCCACCTGTTTCCTTACCAAACATCTATCCAAGGCAAATAACCTCACAATTCAATTTGTTATAATCAGCAAATTTTAGGACTAAAATGGAAGCCAACTCAACAAAGTCTCCTTGAAATATCAAGGACACATCAACACTAATTTATATCTAAGGATAAAGAGCTACTGGGATATTTTGTATTTTCCAAAACATTCTTCCTGACCACACATTCCTCCATGTAAGCTGACATATTAAATTGCCAGGCATAGGAAAGGCGAACAAAATTCTGTGTTGTGGCTGTGGCCCTCTTCCACCCTACATGATCTCTGACGTACCTCGGGCTGAGGTTTGGCTCCTTTTCTTCCTTCAAAGTAGGTAAACATTCATAGTTGGCTAAGACAGAAGAAAAACAATTCACTGTTAGTCACCAGAATTGCTTTTCTACCCACAAAACTGACACAGCTGGACATGGACATAGCCCTCTGTGTGGCTACCTGTGAGGAAACAGCCCTGCTATGGACTTCTAGAGCTTCAAAGATTAATGATGCTGAGGCTCTTTAAAGGTAAGCGCACGAATCACGCAGATACAAGACTGCAATGTCCTGTGCCCCTGATGAAAAGGGCACAATTCATCATCGCTGGCTTAGTTGGTCCCCTGAAGCCCACTGTGTTCTGAAAGCTAGAATATGCCTCTTGGAAACTAGACAGGGGAATAAAATGTCTGTGCCTCAGGTCCTGAAGTGTCTGCAGAGCAACTTTATAGCAGAAGCATCAGGAAGGTGGGGAGTGAGTGACCACCTTCTCCCAGGGAGCTTCTTTCTCCTCTACCACACA